ACTTTCTAAAAATCTGAAATTTTAAAATTATTTTGACAAGCTTTGGGCTATGTGTTTCCTTTCTTTAAATGTTATAAATGGAAAATAATAGAGTATTAATGATGGTATGTTGGACCATGGATTGGGTCAACCGATTAAAGATATACAAGTTTTGTATTTTAGAAATCCCGATAAATGGGATATGGTGTCGTGGTGTCGGGTTAACGGGCATTCAGGGGTATTTCTGCAGGTTAATGTGTTATCAACGGGTTATAAATGACCCCTGATTTTAGGGGCATCACATCCTTTGCCCTTCTTGATTTTCTTTTTTTCTTTTTTTCTCACACATATCACTAAATTTTCATCTCTTACTAATTTACACCTAATCACTTTTTCATCTCATAATTTAACCCTATATATAATTATTAGAAATTAAATTTTTAAGCCCCGACATTCACAAAATGCTATGCAATGCATGTCAGGATTTCACACCATGTCTTGACTCCCGATCACAAGTGGGCAAGATACTGATCCATCAACACCTTTTAAAATGACATCGTTTGACAGATCTCTTTTTGAGCCAATTTTTCACTATGCGAACTTCATAGGATGTTGTCATTTCTAACGAATAGCACATGGTGTTGTTACTCTCTAACTACAGAGGAGCTGCACCAGAATAGCACAACCTTCTAAAGCTGAAAATCTCTACAATAAAAGGTTCTTGCAACAATGATCTTTATTTTATTGAATCAAAAACTTTTTTGCAGTTGTTATCTGATTTAATTCTACGATCATCAGTGATGGAGCCACCATACGTACCCACCCTTTTAAAATATTATTTAAACATATTTAATTGTGTCCACCCTATTATTATGTTCTTGTGATATCGATAAGAATAGACCTCCTACCTACATGATTATTAATTTTTATAGTAATTCTATTGTTACCTAATTTAAGGACCTAATATTTCATGACATTAAACCTAATAGTGAGCAGTAATATTTAGTAAAATTTATTATCCATCCAATGGCCAAAATCCATTAGCTCTCCACTAATTAAATCCCAAATTAAATGCAACTAACATTATTCTTAACTTTTAGATATGTTTTGGACGTGTTCGAATAAATTTTGGACATAATAGAGTTATTTTATAATTTTTTCTTTAAAATCTAAGATTATTTTGTTATTGTACGGAAATTGAGTGTCGTTATGTAATAAATTACAGAGTCATAAATAGAAAATTGTTGCTATAATTTTGTATATAGAAAAAAAAATTTGTTGATTACATTGATTTGTAATGCTTTCAAATGATAAAAACTTATCAAGATCAATTATAAATGATAATAATTAATCACATTCTTAGTAAGAAGTTATGGTTAATTTTTTTTTTTTTTTTGTACACATTATCTATATCAGTTTTTAATCCTTTATGTTTAAACTATTAAGTATTAAATATGATTTCAGCAAATATAAATTTATGAACTTTCGTGGTCAATTGGCCAAAAATTAAAATTTGTCAATGTATCCACCCTACAATAATTTTTTGGCTCCATCCTCGACAATCATTACGTGTAATATATAATAATTAGTCATTTCAAGAAGTGTACACAAAAGATAAGGACAAATCCAACATTTATTTTAACGTCAATCCATGCCATGGTTACTACAAAGTGTGGGAACGGACATATATTCATGAATAATGATATGCTTACTAAAATTTTTATTAAAAAATATTTTTATCAAATGAGTTGGCAACTCCATATCCAATCAAAAATATTTTGATCAATATTTGGTGGGTCCAAGAGTGATGTAGAGCTGCTAATTTATTTGATAAAAATACTTTTTGATAAAAGTTCTTATATGTATAACATTTCTCTATATTTATAGTTTAATCCTACATGTCATTTTCATGACGTGAAACTTGTGGCCATCAAATTTTTTTTCAGTAATCCAATGGTGTTCCTGCTTGATAGAGTTTTTCTTATCACATACCTATCTAAACATTGTTGTTTCTTTCATATTTAGGATTGCCCAAAACTCTGACTAGTCTTTATATGTAGATAAAGTTCATGTAAGTAACACTTAGATTCGTTCTTTGCCGGAAACATATTTTTTGAGAACATTGGGATAATCTAATTTTTTTTCTCATACACCTGCATATTATGCAGAGCTTCTTTAATTAATCAAGTTCAATCATCATCTTTCAATCTCTCAACACTCTACTACATTTCAAAGGTTTGGGTTTTAAATTAATGGAGAATGTTTGATATTAATGCACATTGAAGACATTGGGGCAAATGGTACTTTGTCCCCTGAAAGATTGAGAAATTTTCAATTTGCATCATGAAAGATTGATTGTTTCAAATTACACTATCAGTGTTATTATTTGGTGACAATGTGGCCCCAGGTCTGACGAACGTTGAACTTGCTGTTAACCCAAGCTATCACGTGAGATGCACGTGATAACCAGAAGGGCCTTCATGTAAAAACACCATAGACCCAATACCCCTTTTTATTCTAGCGCCATAGCAGATGACTTGATTTTGCTCTAATACATTCCACTCCAGCGCTAAAGAAGGAAGGAGCGGAAGAGCAAAGGAGAAAGAATGAATGACTTCTATTACTACGGTAAGAGAGCATTAGTGAAAACTTCATGGACAAAGTTAAATCCTGGGAGGTGATTTCTTTGCTGCGCTAGTTGTGAATTTTAATGTTAGGTGAAACTCACATTCAATTCAATAGTTGCATTAAATTAGATTCTCAAATTAGATCTAAATAATCTTTTTCAATCGGTAGACTACATATGTCACAATAATGTAATTTGGGGGTATTTGGCAAAGCCTTGGTGGATTGGACTGGTTTGGATTCTTAATCCAAACCTATCCAATGAAATCTCAATAACCCGGATAAAATGAAGAATAAAAATAAATGATTTTATCCAATACTTGGTTTGAAAAGTAATTTATGAAATTGCGGGGCCCATGGACAAACTATTATGTTTTTGGTTAAATCTCCTAACTTTCACAATAATTTACCATTTTAGCCTTCAATACTACCCAAACCAATCTCAAACTTGGCTTTTCAATTCTTATGCTCCACCTTGGAATGTCATTTTATGTGCAAATTTGTGACAAAGTGCAAACACCGAAGTTAATTAGGTTCCACTATTTTTAAATTGGTTTGGATTGTAGATCAAAATATTTTGTGTAAAATGAATTGAAATAATAAAACAATAAATGAATAGAAGATCCAAGATTTAATAAACATAGTTCATAAACACGAGTTGCCTTATTCAAAAATACCCAAAAATAAGGCAGCCTAGGTTAGAAGTACAAGTCAAACATGTGATCATATTAATTGTTGCCTTGAACTTTAATACAAAACGAAGGCAACCTTATAGGATAATTAAGCTGACGTTTGCCACATGCACACACACGGAATCATGTGTCTAAACAACCAAAATGGATCATGTCAATTACCTAATTCGATACACATATACACTAATACATATGAATAATCATATTAAATGCCAAAATGTGTTATGATTGTGGAACAAGGCAATCATCAATGACTATAACATCTACTGCCCTGGGAGAATTAACCGATGGGGACGAACTAACACTTTTCCAGTCCTGATTGCTTTAACTCCCACCATCTCTTTTGAAAATAACCCCAAAATACTGATAGTTTGGGCACTGGCTAGACAATGATTCGCGGCAAACACATCTTCCTACATGTGTAATGTACAAGCATGTGTTAAAGCAAGTGTAAAACACAATAACCTTCAGAATTTTAATGTACCCTTGAAAGCTACAAGCAGTCAATCTAGTTAGTAAAACTAAACATGCCACAAAGCAAACAGAACATGAACACCAAATGTTAATATTGCAATTTTCACCAGTATCGAATATGTATCTATATGCATACAACCAACTTTGTTTGTGACTATGTCCCAGGAGCATCGTGTAGGTATGTGTGTGTGTGTGTGTGTGACTACACACAATGGTGTTGTTGTGACTATTTTTTTTTTCTATCTGACTGCTGGGTATGAGATGAATTGCCTCAGAAACCTCCAACGACACAAGCACAGACAGAGAGGGACACAGAAGAGAGGTGTTTGTGTATGTGTGTCTCTTTGTAAGGTTGTCTTAATTTTTTTACTTTACTTTTTTCTAGGTAGAACATTATACAGAGAGAGGCAGAGAAGAGGTATACGAACAGAAACAAAGACACAGAGATAGGAAGCGATAGACTAAGAGAGAGAGAGAGATAGGTAGTCCATGTAAAACAATATCATCCAAACAATATTCCTTATCAATTGTAAGATCATCACAGTCGTTTCACTTTCTCCTGCACCATGAAACCATCGATTCAGCTCTCCTCCGTTTTAACCTTTCAATTACCCTCCCCACTTCTTTGTGTGACCAGTGAAGAAATGCCCAAAAAATCCAAGGCTTGCACTAATCTAGGGTAGGCTAACCTTCAAAGCAACTAGTTCGAGCCTACCCAAGATACGCCAACATAACGATAGTGAGAGAGCGACAACAGAGAAAGAGAGAGAGCAACAGACCGATGACCTAACACCATGCAGACACAGACCGATACACCAACAAAGAGAAAGAGAGAGACAGCGACACACTATTTGCGATAAACACAGACACATGCAAACAAATGAGAGACTGATACAGAAAGAGAGAGAGAGAGAGAGAATACTTTGACAATGGGGACCAGATTTGCGCCATTCCAAATGGGGGGACCAATGCAATGGAGGGGATTGTGATAAATAAACCCTACCACTTTCTTTTCTGGCGTGTTTAAGTAAATTAAATTCCTATCCTGTCGGTTGGATAGCAATCCCAAAGTTTAAGTGGGTTTAATTTATTCACTTTAGAGAGGATATTTGACCCGAGAAACTATGGGCCAATTTTTTTAATCCCAACGATTGTCCAGCCACCATATAGCTTGCCAGAGCTAGGATAAATGGGTCCTATAATTTTTTATTCGATCTAACTTTTGTTACCCTGCTTTATCGATCAAGTCAAAAACACCCTTGTATTCCCCCGAAAACAAAGAGCCGCTGAAAAAGCTCGAGTTCAGACCCTGTTTTAACTGTAATAACTACCAATGTCCTCCTGGGTATGTTCGCATACACTCTCTCCCCTGTCTCTACCCCTACAATCTTCACACTCTCTCTCTTCCCTCCAAACCCAACCACCACCACCTCTCCAAAACCACACTCCTCGACTCACCAGCACCTCTTGTACGACAACGACTCTCATCCCCACCAAAACCCCATCAAAACCCATATCAGAAACACGCTCTAAAGCCTCATGGATCGAAGCTCTTCGATCCCAAACCCGTTCAAACCATTTTTGGGAAGCCGTTTCTACATACATAGAAATGACAGCGGCGGGCATTCAACCGGACAACTTCGCTTTCCCGGCAGTTACGAAGGCCATTACCGGCCTTCAAGACCTGAATGCTGGAAAACAGATTCACGGGTCTGTAATCAAACTTGGGTACGAGTCATCTTCGGTGGCTGTGGCTAATACCCTTCTCAATTTATATGGAAAGTGTGGAGATATTTTTGATGTTTTCAAAGTGTTCGAAAGAATTCCTCAAAAAGACCAAGTTTCTTGGAATTCAATGATAAACGCATTGTTTCGGTTTGAGGAGTGGGAATTGGCATTAGAGGGATTTCGAGCCATGCAATTGGAGATAATAGAGCCTAGTTCTTTCACCTTGGTGAGTGTTGCGCTTGCTTGTTCTAATTTAAATAAGCGGGACGGGTTGAACCTTGGGAAGCAAGTCCATGGGTATAGTTTGCGAGTAGGCGATAATAAAACATTTACTAACAATGCTTTGATGGCTATGTATGCCAAACTAGGTAGAGTTTATGATTCAAAAGCTATTTTTGAGTTGTTTGCAAATCGTGATATGGTTTCTTGGAATACCATTATAAGCTCCTTCTCTCAGAATGATCAGTTTTATGAGGCATTGACATTCTTTCAACTTATGGTTTCTGAGGGACATAAACCGGATGGAGTTTCAATTTCTAGTGTTCTCCCAGCATGCTCGCATTTGGAGTTGTTAGACATTGGGAAGGAAATTCATGCTTATGCTCTGAGAAATGACGATTTAATTGGAAATTCTTTCGTGGGTAGTGCTTTGGTTGACATGTATTGCAATTGTCGACAGGTTGAAATTGGCCGTCGAGTTTTTGATGATGTCTTAGATAGGAAACTTGGTCTTTGGAATGCTATGCTTGCTGGTTATACACAAAATGGGCTTTATGAGAAGGCCTTAGCACTCTTTATGGAAATGGTGGAGGTCTCAGGACTTTTTCCAACTCCCACTTCAATGGCAAGTGTCTTGCCAGCTTGTGTTCACTGCGAGGCATTTGCTGATAAACAAATTATGCATGGGTATGTGGTGAAATTGGGTTTTGGGATGGACAGGTATGTGAAAAATGCACTTATGGACATGTACTCTAGGATGGGGAAAACAGATATTTCAAGGTATATATTTGACAGCATGGAGAGTAGAGATATAGTTTCATGGAATACAATGATCACAGGTTATGTAGTTTGTGGATCACATGAAGATGCCCTTGTTCTTCTACATGATATGCAACAATTAGAAGGGAAGAATGATAATTATGAGGATGAAGAAAGAGTTCCTTACAGACCAAATTCAATAACGCTCATGACAATCCTTCCTGGTTGTGCTTCCTTGGCAGCACTAGCAAAGGGAAGAGAGATCCATGCTTACGCGATTAGAAATGCATTGGCACCTGATGTTGCTGTTGGAAGTGCATTGGTTGACATGTATGCGAAATGTGGTTGCCTGAACTTATCTAAGAGAGTTTTCGATGGTATGCCGTCCAAAAATGTAATTACATGGAATGTTATCATAATGTCTTATGGAATGCATGGCAGAGGAAAGGAAGCCTTAGAACTTTTTAAGAATATGGTGGCAGAAGGAGCACAAGGTGGGGAAGTTAAACCTAATGAGGTTACATTTATTGCAATTTTTGCAGCATGTAGCCACTCTGGGCTGGTCAATGACGGCCGGAACTTGTTCCACAAAATGAAAGATGACCATGGTATTGAACCTACAGCTGATCACTACGCTTGTGTTGTCGATTTGCTTGGTCGAGCAGGTTATCTGGAGGAAGCATATCAACTTGTCAATGAGATGCCTCCAGATTTTGACAAAGTCGGTGCTTGGAGTAGTTTTCTTGGTGCTTGCCGGATTCACCTAAATGTAGAACTTGGGGAAATCGCAGCCAATAATCTCCTTCAATTGGAGCCAGATGTGGCTAGCCACTATGTTCTACTCTCCAATATCTACTCCTCTGCTGGGCTATGGGAAAGAGCAATGGAGGTTCGGAAGAACATGAAGGAAATGCGGGTACAAAAAGAACCTGGGTGCAGTTGGATTGAGTTTGGTGATGTGGTACACAAGTTCATGGCTGGGGATGTCTCACATCCACAAAGTGAGCAGCTTCATGGTTTTCTTGAGAGTTTGTCTGAGAGGTTGAAAAAAGAGGGTTATGTGCCTGATACTTCCTGTGTTCTTCATAATGTCGGTGAGGAAGAAAAGGAGAATCTGCTATGTGGACACAGCGAGAGACTAGCAATTGCATTTGGTATGCTCAATACCCCTCCTGGTACTACCATTCGGATAGCCAAGAACCTCAGAGTTTGTAACGACTGTCATGCTGCTACTAAATTCATCTCAAAGATTATGGAGAGGGAGATCATTGTGAGGGATGTTCGGAGATTCCATCATTTCATAGATGGAACTTGTTCATGTGGGGATTATTGGTGAGAAAGTGCCCAACCCTTCCTTGAAATTCATTTACAGATATACCTACAGTCTTTTTGCTACCCTACCCCATTGTTGTTCATTGATTGTATTATTAAGAATGTTAAATTATCAATCGTAACTTCTGAGGCATGAAAGAAATATTACATGATGCAGAGGCTTTAAATGTTAAAATCCTTGTTGCTGCTCTGTTGTCGATAGTTAGTTACATATCATTCCACCTGCAAAGAATCAAATATTTATCTGGAAAATTACACTGGTTAATTTATTGTTGGAAGAAAAAAGAAAGGGTATTATTGAAGGCATTTTCTTTCCTTATCCACTCCTACAAATATTTGTGGGATTGCATTGAGGAAAGTGAAGATTCCATTGTACCCTGAGAGACTTTCAAATGGGGATGAAATTACCACTCAATTTGGTGAGATGAAAGCGAAAGATGGTTATTTAGGATCGATAATCTTGTCATTTTAGGATTCATCCCCCTCTTTTAAGTCATAACTTAACCCCACTGAGTTGTAACGGGTTTGTTTTAATTATTAACTTAGCCCCCATTTACATGTAACTTACAGTAGGCTACCTCCTTTGTTGCCATATTATTACACAATGATAAACTTCTTCTAGAGCAGCGTTGTGCAAGATGTTTTTAGGAGATATCGTGTGAAGAACTCTGCTTAATAGCTTTTCTGCTTCCAGTGATATAAAACATGCATATTCTACTTCTTGTACTTCATAAGTTGAATCTTTTTACTGATCTAACTTAGGAATCTCTTGCTTATAAGTTCTTCCATCCGATTATTATTATTAATTGGATATTCGCTGTTGTCGTTAGTAAATTAATGATTTTTAAATTCAAAAAGCCTGGGAGCAAATTCTCAGATATCCCTTTCGTTATTACTTTTTTATTTATGTCAAAGACTTGAAGTTGAAAACATCATTTTTTTTCCTTCTTTTCTTATGAGGTCGTGTACAACATCAACCATACAACGTGAATATACATCTCCATTCTTTGTATGCCATAGTTTATACTTGAAGAGCTTTGCAAAAATTGACTAGGTCCTGCCAACCCCAGGCCCCTAGCAAATGCTCAAACCCCGCAAGTTCTCGCTGACGAGCCGGTCAGTGACATAAATGTGCCATTCATATATTGTATGAGCTTGAGCACAAAAACAGGAAGATGTTTGCATGCCAGCGGATGGTTAACTATGCCAATGTACGTCATATCATTTGCAAACAACCACCTGTGTTTTCTGATAGATGGCAGAAAGGAAAAAACAGAAGAAAGATAAAGAAATGTTACCGAACAAATCACAAACATTCAATTCAGGATTTTTAAAGCCATGTCCTACAAAAACCAGCTCGTAATCCAATTTCAGACCATGGACAGAGACAATCTCTATTTGTTACGCTTTGCAGCACGCTTTCCTTGGCCCTTCTTCGGTGGTCCCTTTCCACGACGCTTCAACATTTCAAGCTTGTTTAAGCGCCTGCCAAAGAACATACAATACAGAAACAGGTAATCATTTTAGACCAGTATGCATCATTCACATGCATGCATATAAATGAAGTTTTCTGTAGAATTCTACATAAGCAGTATCTCCACTTTACCATAGACAATAGAAGACAAACTATAACTACAGCAAAAAACTTGTTGCTCAAAATCTTTCTACACCATCAGATGAGTGATAGATCAATTCATTCCCTTTATCTTCCTATTTTTATCTCAAAAAAATCTCCAAAATCATTCCTCTCCCAAACTCTCACTTAAATGCAAGAGTAACGATGACTTGCTGGAAGTATAGCTCCAGAGAGAGAGAAAGACAACAAAGATTACTGAATAATGGGGAGTGGCCTCCAACAAAGATACAAGACAAGGCCACCAAAGTGGGAGAGAAAGAGGAAGAGAAAGAAAGACTATTGTCTCTACGACAAGAGGAAAGAAGCAAAATCTCAGAGAAGGAATTAGATATTTCTTGTGGTAGACACTTGGGAACGGTGTGTGCAGAACTCGATGGTAGAAGACAACAGAATACTTTCGTCAGACTAATTGGTAAAGCAGCCATGCTTCATGACATGTTTACTAATCTAGTTTATTCTTGGATAATATCCTTTGTGTTCCTCCTCACCACACTACATTTCTGCCATTTCTGGCTGTGTTGATTTCGGCTGGCTAAATTATTTAGATGCCTGGTTGTCTGCCCGTAAATGATGGGCTAACAGCAAGAGACCCTAATCCTATCCATTAAGGCAAGATTTAGTTCCATGCCTTCTGAACAGCTACCACAAGCCTATACCACTATCTCTAGCTTGATAAATCCTATTATGCAGAGTTACAACTTGGTTCCATGCTTTTGGTGCTTATGCAAACTGCAAACAGACTATACCACCAACCCTAGCACTGACATGAAGTAGATATACCTTGGAGTAAACACGTCATACAGTAAAATCAAATAGGATGGTGGATTGCATATATGTCACCACATAGTAGCATGACTAGAATAAAATAACAGGATATGACATACCCCCCCCCCCAAAAAAAAAAAAAACCAGCAAAGAAAATGAAACTAGGAGAAAGTAAAAGTACTTGTACTCAATGGTGACAAGTGCAAGTCTAACACAAAGTAGAAAGGTGTAACATCCGGTCCATTTAAATTAAATAATGGTAAATTTTATTGGAAGAAATCCATAATTGATAAAATATAACATTCTTTTTGAAGGTCTTAAACATAAATTATAAAGATTTAAAGGTAAGTAGAATTAAACACACAGAATTATTGATGAGTGGTGGACAAGTGTCATGATTATTTGGTTTTGTTTTACCTAATTGACAAGTGAGTGTTTGAGTCATCATGTAGTGGTGATTGATGTGCATTGGGTACCAAGACACTTGGGCACCAAGTGTTTTGTCTATATGAATAACACTTGTTTCTAAAAGGTGGGAAGCCTTAAGTAAGACTTGTGTGTAGAAAAGCAAAGATAGAGTGGTGGTTGCAAGAGGAGAAAGAGAAAAAATAAACGAGAAAAAGTAACAATTCACTTTGATGATTTGAGCTTAGATTGCCACCAAATTCGAGGATTATGGTCAAAATACCTTGAACTTCATATCTACTGGCATCGATTGATGATCTGAAGTGGAGCAGTATACAATATGCTCTGTCTTGAATCTCTTGCAAAGAGTAGTTCCTTGGTTATTTTCAATTTGTATTCTATTTGATTTGAACAATAATTCTAAAAGTCTGATATAATTTATTTAAGTATGTTGAGTATGAGCACATTGATCATGTTTTGTGTGGATTGGGAGCTGGAAACTAGTAGCCACTAGTCCAATGCATCGCCAGACCAAGAGACCCGTGAGATTGGTTTGAGGTGGGGTCAAGGATCAAAATGTCGTGTCGACACGTCCGAAACGTCCGAAACGTTTCGGAATTTCAACACTCCGAAACGAAACAGTAGTTGAATCACAAAATTCCAGTGTTTCGGTCGAAACGGTACTGTTTCGGACCGTTTCGGTCGAAACGACATTGTTTCGAACCGTTTCGACAAAACAGTGATATATTCGGTTCATTATGAATAATTACATTTAATACCCCATTATAATTACATTTAATACCCACTGTAATTACATTTAATACTCACTATAATTATATTTAATATCCCACTATAATTACATTTAATTCCCACTGCTCTTCTGTCTTTTATAATTTTTTTGTTATAAGAATAAATAATTACACTTAATACCCTACTATAATTATATTTAATACCCATTATAATTATATTTAATACATACTGTAATTATATTTAATACCTCACTGCTGTGCAAGTTTTTTGCTTTTTTTTTTTGTTATAAGTATTAACAATTACATTTAATACCCTAATATAATTATATTTAATACCTACTGTAATTACATTTAATACCCACTGCAATTACATTTAATTTTTAAGTATACATAAGTATCATTAATTTAATTTGATACCCTTCATTATTAGTATTATAATAAAATAGTATTATTAATTGGATTATATTACCGTAATAATATGATTTGGAGTAACTATTGTCATCATATTTATGTCACATATGGAGTTTCTCTAAGTAGCTACCCAGAGCCTACACCGATGTATGAGCCTGCTCGACACTCCACAGGGGAATGGATGTAACCATGTAAGTATGTACTCATTAGCATTTCATGTGTATTATAAGACCTTAATATTATGTAAAAATGTGTTTATTTCATAAAAATTAAGTGTTTGAAACTAATTTAAGTGACTTTCGCCTCAAGTCGAGCCTTTTTTTCCCTCAAATTTAAATTTATTCTTGTATAAATTGATGTTAACCTAATAAATATGTTGAATTAATAAATTATTTAGCATATCTTTATAAATTAATGGATTGCATTTGTGTTTCTATGCGTTTCCATATTTTTTCTGCGTTTCCATTGCGTTTCCGAAATGTTTCCGAAACGTTTCTATTTTTGAGTTGACCGAAACGGTACTTCGAAACGAAATTTTGATCCTTGGGTGGGGTGATTGGTGAAGTGTCAGGTCTACCTTCAAGTCTCGCTTGGCATGTGATATGTGAAGTATGTGTTACCTGACTACTTGAGATATTTGATGATTACGTGATCCTAGAGTTATTTAGTATTTGATTGTTTGTATTTTTTTCGTTGAGCATATTTGTTCCTAGTGTATTGTATACTTCCCCACTTACATTTTTTAGGTTGATTTTGAAGAAAAGATCGGGATTAAAGTATTAGAAGAATCAAAGTTCAGCGAATATTGATATTCTTTTTGTAATATTCAATTTTGGGGGATCTATTTGTATTTGGACACTGAATTACCATTGATATTTTATAGAGGTTATTAAAGGTAACTAAATTGTAATAACATCCTCCTTTATCTACTTAATTTTTGCCTTTTGTCTCCAACTTGTACTTCTTTCACCAACACACATTAATATTTATTTCTAAGATCACATATTTCCCTTCACAAGTTCTCCGATTTGCCATTCAAACTTTCAAGAGAGTCAATTTCCTCAATTCTTCTCAAGATACTTTCTTTCTCCGTTCTAACATCCCCAAAAATACCCCTATTCCACTCCTCTGAATGATATTTCACCAATTTCAATTTTCATGATCTTGAAACCTTCACATCCCTTCACAATAACCTTAGACCACCTGTCTTTAAAATTAAGAACAAAAGAGTGATGATCAACCCACATATTCTCAAATCTACAAGTCCATTTCTTGGATTCCTTTATTGCAGTAATTGTTAGCAAAATTAACTCCATTATCACTAATAAATACTCCCTTATCACTAATAGACCGGTTTTCAAATTTTGAATTCTACCCCAAAAATCTAAAATTAGTCTTTTTAAGTTTGACCACCTAGTTCTTGGATATTTAATCTCTTTTCTTTGTCTTAAATGATTTTTAATGCATACATCTAATTCTCTAATACCATAATCCTAAGTTGTGCGTGCGGTCAATCTCTTTTGTACTCAAAACCTCTATGTCTACAAATTTCTCTCAATGGAAGCCCTAAATACTTCAAAGACCATTCTTGCATCACATAACCTAACTAATTTGAGAACGTAGCTAACATAACTCAAATGAGACTACATTCCTAAAACTAAACTCTTAGACATTTTAATTTGAAGCGTGAAACTAAACCAAATACCTCAATAATGTCCTCTAGATCAAAAGAAAAATGTATCATTTCCCAACTGTAAATAGGATACAACTACATTTTCTATACATATAACAAAATCCTCAATTAAATTGCGATCAATTGCTCCTTTCCACTAATTTACTTAACCCTGACACCCAAAGTAAACAAAAAAGGCCAATGGATTCCCCGGTCTAGGTCTCGTAGGTGCATTGAATCTCTCTCTCTCTTGTGCTTACCATCAGGATTATTAACCCAAAAATTCATAGAACTCCAACACCCCTCAATCCACCTTTTCCATCTACACCCAAGACTTTGGACCTATACAATAATGTATAAAAAACTCAATCCACATATGCTTTTTTACAAAATCAATTTTTACAACAATCCCAACCTTATCATTCAATGTTAATTCTTCAACAACTTCAATTGCCACTTATGCTACCAACCCTTAGAAAAGCACTCTCATATTTTGAAATCACATGACCCAAGACGTCTCTCAATCTCATTGACACAAACATTTACTAAAAACTTGCAAAGACTAAAGCCAAACTTATGAGACTAAAAGCATTAATTTCCAAATATTCGTACTTCTTCGAAATTAGACAAGTATAAGTCGTATTAGCATTAGGAGGAACTCTGAGCAAACTGTCATCAAATCACTCTTTATAACCTCCCAAGTCTTGAAACATTGCCATAGAAATCCATCTGACCCGGGAGACTTACCCTAATTACACAGCAAAAATTTCTCCTCCCACCTTTATCTCTTCAAATGCCATTTTCAACCGATTTATTTTCCTTTCACTGATAGGGCATCAACTAACCCATTAATCTTGGTTTCATATAGTATAGTGTAAAATAAAGCTCTTCAAAAATACTAATGATTTCTTCCTCCATACAATTTTCATCTTCAATAAATGAACCATCTCCGTTTTTCAATTTATTTATCAATTTATTCCTCCTCACGAAAGCCACCCAATAAAAAATTTAGTATTATTAACTCTTTCTTTAACTCATCTAACCTTGGTCTTTGATCTCCGAGAGATCTCTTCTTTGAACACCATCTCCTAGATTTTATTTCTATGATCACTCCTTTCTTTCCTCGGTTATTCATACAAACCTCCCTCTTCCTCCCTGTTGTCTAAGTCCCCCATGCAATTGGAAATGGAGCTCTTTTCAATTCTTATATCTCCTAAAAAAAATTTTATTCCATATTTCCAATTTTTGTTTTTTACATATTCCGGCTTCTTCATAATTTTAACACCATCCCAATCTTGTACAAAACTTTCTTGGCACTTCATTTCAAAGTTACTCTTAAATAAATGATGCTTCAACCACATATTTTAAAATCTAAAAGAAGTTGGTCCCCACCTAGAGGCCATCACATCTAAAGTAATAGAATAATGGACAGACCAGAAACACCGAGATTGCATGTATCCCAAACATCCTATGATCCCAAACAAGGTGAGTTTGTGACCTAGATCACTCAACTTGTCAAACCCAAAATCATAACCCTATCACAAATCGATCCACGATAACCCAAAAATTTTTACCCTAATTGCCACTTCATTTCTTTGTTTTGGTGATCTTTAAACTTTAACTTTTGACTATTTACGTGATTTGGCTTTTTTCTTAAGATAAATATGTAATCATAAAATTCAATTATTGACAAACACTAGCACGTACGTTATTTTGGATTAGGCTTACTTTGACAGTCTTATCACAAGCACAACATAAATACTAATTAGTTAAGCGTAGAGGAATATATAATTATATATATTGTTATATAATGGTGAAAGAAATTCTTACAAAAGTTTCCAAGTGAACCACGAACCAAACAACATACCAAGTCTACTCCATCACAACCATAATTATCCAAATCCCAATCCGGATCGTAGGATTGTAAACAGATAAATCAATCTGAGTCTCTCGTAGAATCCCTAATTCATAGGATCTTAATGCATCGTAATCTTGATCTTATAGGATCGTAGAATCCTGAAATTGCGATTTTACCAATCCAAGTAGTTAGTTTATTTGTTAGGCGCATTTCAATATTGAATTGCCCAATTCATATTTATTGTTTTAACCCTTAAAGACTCGATCCAAATGTGATTGTTTCGTATAATTGTCAATTCAGTAGAGAATTTTGGCAGATGAGAAAAGCTACAAAAAAATTTCTTTTGTTATAAAAAGTTTTCTTCACTCGTTCATCTCTCATGTTGTAAAGCTGAAAACTATAGTTAGGTTTGATCTCCTTTATCTGTCAGAGATTATATCCAAATGGTCTTCTATTTTTATTCTTTTATGCCTTTTTTTGTTTGGATGGTGAATAGTCAAAGTTGTTTATTCAAACTGGCCCAACTTTTCAGTCACTCCTCTATATTCGTCTCTCCAAAATACTTCAATTCTCTTATTACCCTCCGCAAAATCCCACAAGATCAACAACCGACCTTTGATTTTCAACCATCTTCAATGCTCAATTGTAGTTTCACAAATTTTAATAACATCTCTAAGTCGTATATTTTTCATAACATTTATATTGAACATAATATATACTAGGCTTGGTTAATTCTTGTTTTTAAGAGTTCTATATTATTACATATATTTTTCATTACATTTTTTGAGTTAGTAAGATCTTACAATTCTCAATCCGATCCTATGATTCCGGTCCTTTAGCATCCCTCATCGATCCAAGGTAGCATCCTAATTTTAAACACTTGATCACGAGTATAGCAGAAAGAAACTTAAAGTGTATCTGCAATCATACTCCATACCAAATCACCCACGATCCAAGTTGGATAATACATAAACTCGGGCCTCCTGTTACACATTTGACAAGATCTTCTCCCATTTGGATTAAAACAACAAACCGAGTCTGTAAACCAAGTTTCCTCCGAAATTTGACCTAGTGAAGATCGTCTCTTGTCATGGTTCAAGGTCACAATATCAAACCTTAACTAGGAAGGCACCGAGACACATCAGTTGTAACGTCGTAATACGGTATCAGCCAATTCACGCGAAATGGAAATTAAAATGTTCAAAAAATTCTAAAACATTACAAAAAATCTAAAATAATGTAAATAATAATAACCATGTATCATATATCTAAAACACATTATCTAACCCAAGAAATATAGTACAAATGGAATGTAAAGGTGCTACCGGAAGTATATTAATAAAAAGTAATGCTAATTAGATCTAATTTGGGATTTAATTTGGGACCAAGTCTATTTTTGCCATAAAATCAACGGATTCCTAACTTGTAGAGGGTCCATTACCAATCTAATAGCAATAATACATCAGGTCCTCAAATTAAGTTTGAGTAATATTATTAATTAGTAAAATATATCAAGTTACGGGAATAAATCAAACAAAGTATTGTTAACTAATTAAAGTACAACCAGCTGATACAATAAAAAATACCAAAGAAAAAATAAAATATACAAAATGTTATTCTAACCTACAATTATAAGAGTAATAGTCTAACCCCACGTCAGGCACATTTACTTCTAATCTAGTCATTTATTTTCACCAAACTCTAGCCAGGTTAGTCAAATGAATAAAAGAACTACTTCAATGGTTGCTACAATAATCATCGAATTTTTGTTTTGAAATTTTTGACAATGTGATTCATGAAGATGGGAAACACTCTTTGTATGTATATGTGTACTACCAACTCATGGCTGAGTACGAACAAGAAGCCACATTAAGAAATTGCACTTCCATTCCTCACTTATGAGAAATAGGCCCAAAACAAAATCTCTATAAATGAATATGGTCAAAAGAAAAAACATAAGTAAAAGTAAGACCAAATACCCTTTTTGATAAATAAAAAACATCACTAGATTCCAAAGATTTGCAGTAAAAAATGCGCATGCTAAAACAATGACTAGGTAGCAACTGTTATTAGAATATTTTGACATGTATGCTCTAACTAATCTAATCTCTAGAAGCATGTTGCAAATTGAGGAGACAGCCACAATCAATGAAATGTAAGTTTCTAAAAATAAAGAATGAAATAAAAAACCTACAAATGAATAGCAATTTGAACACTTGAAGTTTAACAAAGTTGAGGACATATATCATGTTGCAGCTTGAACCAAACAGTCAGGGGTGTGTGTGTGGATGTGGGGGAGAGAGAGAGAGAGAGAGAGAGAGTAGGGAATACTCTTGTTCTTGTCGGGCCATGACAAGAGGGTCATCTTTCTTGATGTCATAAGGGTACCATTCTGCAACTTTCTGACCAATCAGCTTCTTGCGTAGGATCTTGTGCGAAGATCTCTGCCCTGTTGGATTAAGTACATGCCCAAATATATTTGCCCTTGCCTCGGTCACTCCTCTAATGGCCGCTTCCGCCACCAGACTCTTCAAGCTCCCAAAGCTCATCCTATCTCAAAGACGA